CCAGTTTTTACAGTGCACAGACACATTTTAGTCATCACTAGGCTATTTTAATCATATTTCAGGAATATCACCTACAGTAGGCATTTTATACTAATTAGTAGTATAACAGTATTACTTTGTATTATCTGTATTTTCAAAGAAGTTCACTGTTGGAAACACTTTAACAACTTAATCCCACACAAAGTTAAAATTAATGCACTCCATAGGACTGACAGAGTACCTATGATTTATTGCCATCAAAATATGTAATCAGTTTAACTTGCAGGTTATTTTAGGCAGATAACTCAGTCTTTACACTTGAAGTTGATATACATCTATTATCTATACCAGTATTATTTAGTGGTATCTATTTTGTACACCAATTTTTGCTCATTTAGGGAAAAAACTAGCAATTTTCCACCCACAGGCTCTTTTTTTTTTAACTTATGTCCCTATTCACTTGTAGTCTTTGTTTGCATGCTTAGAGGAAAGATCCAATTGTTTTTAATTTTTTTTTATTTAAATATGTTAATTTTGCATTTACATTATTTATTTTTTTTTTAGTGTTGATAATATAATGATATAGATAACACGATTTTAGTGTGGGCAGTTGAACTTAAAATATGTTGTATGTTAAGACATTGTGACATTTTGCTGGTGTGTCCAGGGCTGAATTTTGGGAGAAGCTGAGTTTTTATGCTGCCAGCTCTACTGAGTTTTTAAAAGTAAAAGTCACCAGACTAGAGAAGTTAAATTGTGGTGTGTACAGAATTAAACTAGTTAGAAAAAAAAACAAGAATACATTAAGTCAGTCATGCTTTATGTGCTCACGAGTGTGAGAGAGTGTAAACGTGAACTTGCAGGAAATGAAGTCTTACACTTCAGATCTCCTGACCAGAGGCTGTAATATACACACTCTGTTTTAATATGGGGCTTATTTATCAGTTAATGGTGCGGGTAATTTTATGAGATACTCCATGTTAATTTTGTCATACACCATGCCAGCATTTTCTGAGTTTGCCATTAACTGTGCAATAGTGGTGATGTGACAAGTTAAACTGAATTACATTTTTTTTTTTTTTTTACAAATAGAAACTTCAGTGTTGTTCTTGTTTTGGCCTATTGTGATGTGCAGGAGCAAATGTGCGGTCACAGGCACACAGAATGTCTCTGTGACATCACCCACACTCTTTTAATGATTACAGGGAAAGTAGTGTGTGTGTGTGTGAGGGCTAAATTTTTTTTGTATAAAGCAGGCCAGTTCTAACTCTGAGACTTACAGCTCTGATATTGACTGTTTAGAGTATCTCTCTAATTAATGATAGAGTTTAAGTTTGGGTTGGATGCGGTGTATTTGCAGTGTTGCAGAGCTTTCTTTGATCAATGCATGTGTGTAACAGTGAGAGGTTGCAGTCAGGGCACAGGTGTGTATTGCTGTGTGTAGTTTCAGCCGTACTCAGGTGCAGCAGTGCCGTACAGGTGTGCAGGGCTTGCCTGCTGTCATTCTTTCTTTGACTAAATATTTACACAGTCTTGAGTTTTTTTTTTTTTTTAGATTGCAGAAAATGTGTTTGAGAGAGACAAACACAGACACACACACACACAGACAGAGTTTTCATAACTACAAATGTAGAAGTGAAGTTATATTACAGGGTTTGAATATGAATGCTGCGTGTATATTTGCACACCACAGAAGTAATTAATTATTCATGGTTTTATTTATTTTTAACATTTTATATTTTTCCTGCAAAGAAAAATTTACTTGAATTTACTGAATTTACTTGCTTCCTACTTCAGTGATCTTAAGTTAAATGTGTGAAATAAAATGTGTAATTTTGCTACATTTTCTTTTGACCATTTAACTGACAAAATAATTACATGGGTGGGTTTCCTGCATAAGGCCGAGTCTCTCGGAGTGTGCGAGCGTGTCACATGCTGATGTTGATGGAGGAGTGGAAGGTGATACCCTTTGACCCTGAGGTCATGTGAGCTCAGTAAAATACAAGCAGAGAGAGGTTAAATGTTATACATTCATTCACACCCCCTCTCACTCACAGAGACTCGTTTAGGGGCTCTGACGGTCCTCCTCGCGCACACACATATGCACATGACCACTTTCTAGGTTATCAGAGTTGTGTGCTCATGTACTGCCTTGTATATATTCAAATTATATAATTACAGCACAACTTAAAATTATAGCGTAATATTGTGCACGTAATGTGCACTTATCTTTTGGGATTTTGATGTTGCTAGTGCACACGATTAAACCCCAAAATGGAGGCTTGGCCAACTACACGCATTATAGAGTTGAAAGAACTTTTAATATCCCTTTGATGGTAACACTTTTTAAAAATATATTTTTAAGCATAAAAATAACCCCACATATTTTTGAAATTGTTTGATTTATGGAGTTTGAGTTATCTAACCAGGCTGTATTTTGTTTGACCTGCTCTGTTACTCAAATTCGTTATAAATGTTTGTTTTTCCCAAGTCTCCTTTTCAGCTCTGATAGTTGTCTGATAACTTTTGGTCTTTTTTTTTTCTCCATGATAAAAATTCATGTGGTCAGATGCTTCCTGTGAAGTTACTCATTTATAATATCTTAGCACAAGGCTTACTGTGTGTGTGTGTGTGTGTGTGAGAGAGAGAGTGGGAAAAGAAACGTGGGGAGTTGGTGAAAGGAGGGGGGAAAACGTTTTCTCGTCAGTCTCTGTTTTTGTGCTACACGTGTATCTCTGGTTCACATCTAAAAGAAATGCATAATTTTTTTATTTTTCTGAAAAATATCTAGTGGATTTGAAAGAGCTTAACATGAGGCATTAGATGTAAATTTCAGAAATGGTTTCTGTCTTATAATCCATGTCCTTGTATAGGCCAATAATAGTTTAGATCATTCTTATTATTATTTGTATCTTTGAAGTGAATGTATTTTTAAGGGTGTATTTAAGATTGATGTATTGGTTTTATAATACATATTATACATGATATTATAGTAATATTTTACACCTCACACACTGCAGTGATATCAGAGAACACACATCCACTCGCATAGCTCACAGCAACTTTCTCTCATACACACACACACACACACACACACACACTGTACTGAGAACATTTGGAGAGGCTGTTGTAGTAGAGAAGCTACAGTTCTGATAACAACAGGTACTTTCAGCATTCAGTACAAACATACTTTGACACTGTGTGACACTCATAAAGATAGGGTGGGTTACTGTCAGTCTGTTCTAACACTCCACACTGAAAGATCGTATAAAACAGAGTGACACCAAATAAAACAAAAGAAAGCAACCATTTACGAGGAGTCTGGCCAGTGGAAAAAAGCTTAAGAAAGTTTTAACATAATGAGCTCAGCACTGCCAGCTCGAACAACCGTCTGCCTCTTTCACTCTGCTGGGAAATGCAAGAAAGCCTTCTTTTTTCCTAAATGCAACATGTAGAAATTTCGTAAATAAAGTCTTTGAGCAGAGAAAATACGGCATGACTGACGTCAGCGGTGTCCTGAGGGAAAGACTTGATGAATATCATAGAGCCAGGCTTCATTTACTATGGGCCAACTAAATACTGCATATTGTACACTGTGCATAGTGAATGCTTTCCTGGAAATATTACAGTTAACTTTCAACAAACACCACACTTCAAAACAGTACTCATACTTTTAATTATTCAAAAGTAGCCCTAAATATAAGTTGATTTTTTTTTTTTTTTTTTTTTTTCCAAAGTATGTGTATTTAATTATTATTTTTTTAAACTATATATGTATCTGTTTTTAAATTGTTCTGCTGTCTGTTACACCAGCTTCTTAAAACTGCCTTTCTTGACCTTTCTTCTTTTTTTCCAGAATTTGCCTGGTTGTGACATCAGAAACTAGAAAACAATTCAAGGTAATAACATCTCTATGCAATTTATTTTATATGTTGTGTTAATTGTTTTAAGAGAGGAGCTAAAACACATTTTTATAGCAACTAGGCAGTTCAGGTGCTATATACCAAGTAAATTACACTTTCAGCATTTGCCATCATGGTATTAAGGCTTTAAAATCCCCTTCAAGCAATGAGATGTCCGCTTTAGATCGACACAGTGCTTGTTTGCACAAGTGAAGTGTAAAACAATTTTTATTTTATTTTTTTTAAATGTACTTACATTTGCCTATCATGATTTTGAATCCCTTTTTTTCAGGCAGTGGTGGCTTAGCCCTAGCTTCTGTGAAAGTGCAAATTCACTGTAATGTCTGTAGTGGTTTTATTTGTATTTCTTGCCTTTGAGGTGTTAACTCAAGTAAATGCTGGAAGAAAAAAAAATATTTCGGATGCCAACTCTTGTTTAGAAGCAATTACAAGTTTGTTGTCATTATCAAGTGCAGGCCACTGCCTCATAAAACTACTCTAGCACTGACTATATTGTGTGTGAGAGGTTCTAGTTGTCTTCCTGTCAATCTCATAGATCACAACTAGGCATTAGGTTTTGTTGGGGTGACAGAACTAAATGGCTAATTTTGGATAATTCATCTACTCTTGTTTGCTGTCAAAACCTCCTACACTAGTTTTTTTTTTTTTTATACAAGAGAAAAACTATTTTACTGTCAGTGACTATATCAGGAGCTAAACAGTATATAAATATTGTAGCATTGTCACAATGGACAGTTTCTTGGCCGTGAATACATGTTGCATCACTGACTCAAACTATTAGTTATGTTAAGTCAGGTCGTAACCTTGGAGTCAATGTTACACCTTAGTGGTCATAATAAACAGGTGCTTGAAACTGGTCATTAATTAATCTTTTATTATAATTAATATATTTTAGTATACTAATAAAGATACAAACTGTTATATTTCAAGAAAAGGATTTAATCGGTTCATCACAAGTGGTGTTGTTGGCTGTAAAATGCTGTGTTATTTAGTACACTCACTGGAAATCTCACCTTTCTGCTGTTTCACATTATTCTACTAAAAAGCAGGCATGGAAGTGTACTTGAAATATTGTTTAATGCTACAATTCTCCAAAATCAAATATAATTCAACACAATTAAATTACATTTTAAGATATAACTAAATTCTAAATCTTTAGGAAGCTGATGTGTCAAAGAAAATACTTTGTTTTTGAGATTCTGTGTTTGCCAATCTATTGTTGGGTGTATAAATATATCTAATATTACTATCATTACTTCAGTTTTTTTTTTTTTATTAGGTCTTTATTATGTTAATGATGTCTCACGTCAACTCTGACTTGGTAAACATTAACATGAGCTTTTTTATCGTAACTGTACATAAAGCACATAGCAAAGGAATTGATTCAGAAAGAATAGATATCTTATTTAGCATATTGTGGGCATAAGAGATGTCTTCTTCAGTTGTGGGGCAGCACTTTGGGAAGCTGGTGGCAGGTCTGTTCCTGCTGTTGAAGATGACTACGAGGCTGGATGTTGTCAGTGCTGAATCACCATCTTGGAGGTTAAATCCAGTCTGGTCTAGAAGACAATGGTGCTAGTTTCTTGTTTTCTTTAATATCATTATTTCTGATGAAGTTGCCAGAGGACAGGTTTCAGTATAATGCTTGAAAGTTGCTGAGAGGTGTGTCTGCAGAAAATCCAGCCTGTGGAAAATAAGAACGGAGGGTAATGTACCACTGGGGATGATGATGTAAAAATAAATTTTTGATTACTATTTAAAACTCTTGTAATGCCTCATTTTAGTCGTCTCTTGTGTCCTGTTTCAAAATATAATAAAAAGTAAATATGCCAAAACAGTCCAGGACCCACTGGGAATGATGGATCTTTTAAATCGTGGCATAACATTTAGTTTTGACTTGTAGGTGCTTTTTTACTGAAGTGTAAAATATTATGTGATTCAGTGTGCAATAAGAAGTAGTAATAAATATACATTTTACTTATGTATGCTATCATTAAAGTTTTTTTTTTTATCAGACATAATAAAATATATTTAGAAATGTACATTATAAGCATGCAAAAGTAAGAAATAAAAAAATATCAACTCAATATGTATATCCTGAACACTTAATTGTACATTAGCAGGTCCTGCACACAAATGTAGAAATGACACTTTTTGTTCTTATTGGATACAAATGGTTTGCAGGCAAACACAGCAGTAGACACTGAAGTATTTTACTGCAAACTGACAGCATCACGTCCAGCTGCTGTGTGTATGTTCTCACTCAAGCGTCCTCCTCTCTTCTGTGTTTCAGGTGGAGTCCTGGAATTCCTCAAGCCCTGCTGAGAGAAAGAGAGAGAGGGAGGAGAGGAGTCACTCACTCGCTCTGTGATTCTGGCAGTGCTTGGTCATGTTGCCAAGGGTGTGAGTGTGATTGAGAGAGAGGGACCCTCTCTAGGTGATGGTGTAGCAGCACAGAATGGTTTGTGGTGATACAGCGATGCAGGCCGTGATGTGCTGCAGCATCAATTCCTGGGACCTACGCAGTCGAGAGAGAGAGAAGAGAAAGACTGTGTGTGTGTGTGTGTGTGTGTGTGTGTGTGTGTGTGGAGATGTTCATGCATCATTCGAAAGATGTGCATCTGTGAATCAGTAGCATTAGTACGGAGGGGTCTCGTTTGAGCATGCAAATGAAAATGCATTTCATTTTAATGAGGTTTCACACTTAAAGTGTTTATG